TTATTTCATCCCCAATAGGCCTCATCTACGACCCCTCACGACCCAAACACAAACCCAAAAATTCCAATTACAAAATTATTAATATCCACATTTCTTTTAATTTATTATAAAATTAAAATTCAATCTAAATAAATTAAAATAAAAATATATTTCCGAGTAATACCAAAGGGAAACATCCAATTATAATTTAATAATAATCCAACCGCCCCAACAATATAATTCCTACTCGTATAATTACCTCAAATTGCCCATTCTTTCCCCATATTTTTTATTTTAATTTTATTCCGTATGTTTCTCCTAATTCGTTATAAGATCAAAATTTAATCCGAATAAACTATAACAAAAATATATTTACGAGTAGACAATTGCTCAAAATAAAGATAATTCCAATATATTCCAATCGTTATCCGATTACGATCCGATTACGATCCAATCGCGATCCAATCGCACTCCAACCGCCCCAACCATACCACTACTACTCGCATAATTGCCTCAAATTGTCCACTTTTCCCCATATCCTTTGCTCTAATTTCATTCCGAACGAGCAACTGCAACAACCATTCCAACCACATGCACCCCCACCCTACGGGAACCTTTGCTTCCCAACAGCCACCTAAAAAAGCCTCACCCCAAAAGGCCCGCCCAAGCCACGCTCTTTCTTTCCTCCAACACTTCCAATTCACCCAGCCACCCTGCAACCACAAGCAACTTGCTTTCTCCAACAGCTTCACTTGGGTAATAATTTATAGCACATCAAATTCGAATAATCTCGACGCACACTCTTCCAATATGACATACGAACCTGAAATATACATGGCATTCTGGCATGCGCCCGGTGTTACATCCGTAAACTATTTTTCCAAATATATATTTTTTTTCAATATCTTATTCCTAACCATTCCACATAAGCACTATATAAACATTTAAATTGCAAACAGATTTGTTGTTTTTTCAATACTAGCATGTTCGTAAATGTCAAAAACCAACATCGCAAAATTACAAAAATCTATAAAATTTCTCCCTTCAATACGGGCACCAATTCCCTTTTTTTAAGCCCAAAATATTTGGATTGCGCATCCTCCACGCACATCAGTATATCTGGGTAATTGCTCAAAATCACTTCATGCCCAACAGGCCTCATCCCCGGCCCATCCCGGCCCAATCGCGGCCCCAAAAATCCCAATCGCAAGACCCTTGGTATCCATGTTTCTCTTAACTCGTTATAAGATTAAAATTCAATCTGAATAAATTATAACAAAGACATACTTACGAGTGGACACTTACGAGTAGACACTTACTCAAGTTGAAGATAATTCCAATCACCATCCAATCGCGATCCAATCGCGGTCCAACCGCCCCAACAGTACCACTCCTACTCGCATAGTTGCCTCAAATTGTCCATTTTTTCCTCAAATCCTCTGCTTTAATTTCATTCCGAACGTTTCTTTTAATTCGTTATAAGATCAAAACTCAACCCGAACAGACTGTGACAAGGACATGCTTACGAGTGGACAGTTACTCAAGTTGAGGATAATTCCAGTCGCCATCCAATCGCGATCCAATCGCGCTCCAACCGCCCCAACAGTACCACTCCTACTCGCATAGTTGCCTCAAATTGTCCATTTTTTCCTCAAATCCTCTGCTCTAATTTCATTCCGAACGTTTCTCTTGATTCGTTATAAGATCAAAACTCAACCCGAACAGACTGTGACAAGGACATGCTTACGAGTGGACAGTTGCTCAAGTTGAGGACGATTCCAGTCGCCATCCAATCGCGATCCAATCGCGCTCCAACCGCCCCAACAGTACCACTCCTACTCGCATAGTTGCCTCAAATTGTCCACTTTTTCCTCAAATCCTCTGCTCTGACTTCATTCCGAACGAGCAACCTCACCTAGCCTGGCCTGCAGAAACCATTCCAACCACATGCACCCCCGGCCACGTACCTCCCTCCTCCCACCCCCAGGCATCAGCAGCCATCTGCAACCTTCACCCTGCGGGCTCCTTTGCTTCCCAGCAGCCACCTAAAAGAGCCTCACCCCAAAAGGCCCGCCCAAGCCACGCTCTTTCTTCCCTCCAACCTTCTCGCCCCATCACACACCTCGCCCTGGAACTCCACTCCGTACGGTTTTTTTTATCCGTCCATTTCCTCAATTTTTCAATTGTTTTTCCATGGTTTTACTCGATTTCTCCATCATTTTACCCTCCATTCCAGTCTCCGCAAGTGCACGTCGGAGGACGGACCAGGGGGGAATCGAACCCCACCGTCACCCAATTGCCACCTGGTACATCAGCCTCAAAATCGCTCAAAATCGACCACGAAGGCCACCCCAATTAGGTGGGGAAGTGCGTCAAAATTGTCCATGTTTTCAGCCACCGCCCCCCAGACCCCCTATTCTCACTTCGTTCGCAATGAGCGACTTCGCCATGCTTGACAGCTGGCTTTCGTAATTAAAAAAATCGGGAAATCGGCAGCAAGGACGTATTAAAGATATTAAAGAGATTGCTAAATTTCCAATCTAGTTCTAGCACCGAATCGCGAAACGATCCGGCAACATAGGAGCCGAACCGGAGCCATTCATATTCACGAACCGAACCGGACCGGTGGGAAACCGAACCGTTTGCCGTACAAACCGCAAATACGAACCGGTTACAAACCGGTTAAGAACCCTAGGCATCTTCCTATTTTCTATTTATTCTTTTGTCCGGTGATGTTCGCATTTGCATGTGCAAAAATCAATTTGGCTGCTAAAGAAAAAATAGGTGAAAGGAAAACGAAAACGAAACAAAACGAACCGACCCCATCCTAAATTGCTTAATGTTAATACGGTATTTCCGGATTTAAAGGCTTATGTCACTAGCCAAGGGGAGAAATTAAAAGGATGGAAGTATGTAGGGGGAGAATCGGCTTTGTTGTTTTTATTCAAGTAGTGGTTATGGGTGTGGTTGTAGTTGCGGTTAGTATTAGGATTCTTAGTCTGGCTTTTGTTGTGGTTGCAGGATGTTGCAGGTATAATTATGATTATATAGTAAGTATATTTTGGCACGTCTACAATTTTTTGGTCCCTTAGGTTATTTGTAATATTAGAATAATTTGGATTTCGACCTTAAATATTCCCCGCATTGTCTGGACATGTCTTTTTAATGCATTCATTTATGCACAATTTACAAGTCCGAAGTATGCCAAGAAAAGAGCCAGTCCGCATTCACGATGATTAAGATCCTCTGTATTCTGCTTAATACAACCTTCATTCGCCCGGGTAAACCCTCCCAACAAATATTAACAAGAAAAGGTTGTTTAAGAGCCATACATGTGTAATCGAGAATCAATTGTATTTATCCCTTTGAATTCTTGTTCATCCTCATTTAATCTCATTTTAATCAAGCTAGATGAATTTCAAAGCGTTTATTTCATCTTCGTGGTTTTTCCAGATATTGATGATATTGTCTGGATATTGGGAACTCTCAGATTTAGCGAGTTCAACCTTTTCCTGGCGCAATTTTTAGCTGCCTAGGAAGTTTTGCCTCTGGCAATCCTACTGACACAAGCCACCTGCGACATAGAAGAGGCTCTCCAATCAAATAGATATATAAAGATTGCTTTATGTTCAAGACATCGAAATGCTTCAAGTACAGTAGATCTTTTCTTCAGCTTGTTTCAATGAATCAACATGCACAACACATGTCATATTGCCACACATCATAAACAACAAACATCAACTAGCTTCTTTGTCGCAGTCAGATCTTTGTCTGATATGTACACGTTCATTGGCACAACTAGATACCCTCACAACCTGAGTTATGTGTAGAACGCCATGTTAAAGGAAGTCAGATTTCTGATGCAACAGCATTATCCCTGTCAAACCTACTAGGAAGAGTCTCTGGCCTGGAATCGGTGACAAGAGCTACATCCTCTAGAAGTCTTGCACCAAACCTTGGAGACCAGCATTGACTGATTGGACGACAGCTTTTCGCTTCTCTGAAATGTGTGTTCCTCTTGTCTGATAATTTGGGGTTAGAGTTATCACCAATAAACCCGGCAACATATTCCACTATAATAATCTATAATATATAACCAAGCATCAGCTGGCTATCTTTAGTGGCTCATGTTGGAATGAATGCCTCCCAGGCACCTGCGGTCCGGTAAGGAAGCCTCAAGCCAAACGAGCGGACCAAATCAGTCAAATCTTTCTCTCACATTCAGATGGCTCCAACATTGGATTTGAATCTGAGATCCCAACGGATTGGGAGCGCCAGCAAAGGCTATACATACGTCTCTCTGAAGCTCTGTTTGTAGGTCGAGAGGTTCGTTTTTTCCGTTTTCTCTGATGCTTTTGCAACGCTTCCTGCATCGCTTGTTGAAGACTCCGCCAGCCGAGTGATTCCAAGTCGGACGCCAATTTCTCTGGCAGCACAGCCCACAAGTTGGCGGGCCATGAGTTGGACAGCACGTCTTTGCACAGACTGGCAATGTCCAGTTTCTGTTCCTGCTGAGGGTCAGCTTTGTGGGATAAAGTTCCCTTTTCCAGGAGCCAGGAAGAATTTGTAGCATCAAATTCACCCATTCGAGATCTGTGCTGGAGGAGAGCATGCAAGGAGGATAAATGGCTCAGGTTGTCATGAGTGGTTTCATGCTCTGGTTCTGCATCTTTCACACTTTTAATGTCAGCTTCAACTGCTCTGATGTTCGCCATTAATCCAACGGGCCAGGAGACAAAGACACGCCTGGCAGCAAACCTGTTGGCTTTCGGCACCAAGTGCAGCAAGCTACAAAACGACGTGGGCTTTTGCGGTCTGTAGGCGTAGTGGACAGCTACCAGCACAGGAGGGCCAAGGTGAGATCCAGCGGAGGATCGCGAAGCTTTTCCAGCAAGATCCATCATGGCATCGAGTCGTTTTAAGAGCTGTGGATGTCTGGTCTCCAGCGTCCTCAGAGATTCATCCAAAGTGTCCTCTAGCAACAGCCACCCAGCTTGCTGATCTTGAAATCGCAAATGTGCGGCACCAACCTCTCATGATACTAGCCGAAACAAGTTGAAATGATGAAAATGTCAACAGTCTGAAGATTCTAGTCTTTGTCTATTACGTCTCTGCAAAAAGAAAGCACTAAGAATCTCTGGATACACGAACTGAAGCAAGAGACCATCAGTCCAAGACGTTCACCTGCCTGTGCTGCGCACAAAGGATCCAGCAAGCTAACTGCCTGGCAAAGAACGTTGCAGTCTCAAGATTGCGGCACATACTTCACAAAATTGATCATAGACTGAAAATGCTCGTTCAGTGGGACCGCAGCCGCAGACTGCTGCATTTCTCGATATCCGCAACAGGTGCTGTGTTGGTAGTGGGTTCCACAGATGATCCCTACTTGCCCATTCCAGCCTGGAAGGGCACATCCATTTGCGCGGCCAAGGATTGCAGGGTCATACGCACGGTGGAGGCACAATCAAAGCCAGGCTCCTGGTCCCGTCACCCAAAAAGCACAGCTCTTCTCAGGAATGTCCCACCCAACATCACGCAATCTCCTCTTCTGTCAAGAATAAGATTGGCTTTGGCGGAGAGTCACCTTGAAGGAGACTCCGCTTCAGCATTCTCTCGCCAAAGTAAGTAGTTTTGGAGTTTGGACTTTTAAAAAAAATCATTCTCCTCTCTAGTTCAGCCTAAAGGAGGACTGCCTGAACCGAACTGGCACAGTCACCTGGAAAAACACGGAGGCGGCAAAGACCCTGAGAGCGCATAAAAACGCTATCCGGTATCTCTACATCTATGCGCACATATACATGCGTAATGCGAACAGAATCGCACATACATGTGTATGTATATATATACAATTATAAACATACATATTTATATATGCGTGTATATAATATGTATGTATATAATTATAATATATACGTACGTATATACAGTGTGTATATATATATGCACATACATATAATAGTAATAATTTACATATGAGCCTAGCAATGGCTTTGTTGCCTGGCTCTTGCCAATTTCTGGGCTCCCTACTTCGCGCATCTTGTACTGCTTGAGTGACCAAGGCCACAGGTCCTTTGGATGCACTCAGGGTTTCAACACCTGCGCACAGGCTCAGGTCTCCATGGGTTCTGAAATCCCATGATGGATCAACCCAACTCTGAGATCGTTGGAAACGGACGAAAAATAAATGACCGCTGAGGTGATATGCTCACGCCAAATCTTGACCTGGGATCACTGGAGGCATTGATGCACTCAATGCACATGATTGAGTCACTAGAAAACTTGAAAAGCACGATCAGTCGCACACCTCGGGTGCCCAGTTCCTTGATGCTGAGATGCAACAACCTAGGTGGAAAGACTGCTGGTTTTATCTCAATGGTACAGTATTATCTCCCATGTCAATCTGCACATTGAATCTTGTTGTTTCGGGATGTTAGGTGATGGTCATTCCTAGAGGTTCATTAAGCCATTGTCTAGAGATACTTCCCAGCCCACGTGCATTCATTTGTTGACACCCATCTGGGCCAAGCTGGGTTTCCGAAAATTCCGGGAACACCAAGAATCCAATGGTGTTTCATTTTCCCCATGAAGCTCACCGCTCTTACCAAATCCCCCGCAGAGTTTGCACAAACCCATATCCTTTCATTGCTGATGCCATACAAGTATTGTACCATATCCACATCATTCCATATCCCCATTCTGAACATGCTTGAGTCTCATTTTCTTCCCTTTAGAGTCGCACTTCCGCCCTGGGCCCGGACTTCTCTTCGAGCCTTTCAGGCGCCAAGGCGGCGAAAGTCAACAGCTCCTCCACCGGACCGATCTCCACTGGGAGGGCCTCCTGAAGCACGGTGGCATTTCATGGAGAATGGAGGAGGAACATATGGTTGATTGGTGGAGAATAGACGATGGGATCCAATTGTTAATGTTGAAAATGGAGGATAGTTTTGTTGGCTAATGGATGATAGTTGATAATGTTGGGACTACAACCTGAAGTATAATGGATATTAATGGATGGTATACTGATTAATACTTTGGATTTCACGTTACTGGCAATAAGTAGCAGGACCATCACCCCCGCCTCTGGGTTCGCCTTCAGGTGTGTCCATCTAGCGGGCTCCTGGACCATGCTGTCGAAGACCTCCAGGATAACCCACCAGAAAGCTCAATCGAAAGATGTCGCAGTGACAATGGAAAGTACAGGTGATAAAACAGCTCAAAAAAAACAAAATAGATGTCAGAATGAACCTTACCTTGGGGGATTCAATGGATCTTGAAAATTTGAAAAGCCAATCCGTGGGCCAAAATGGATTTGCCCCTGATCGTTGAATCCTTGGGTCATCGTGGCCTTCCAAAGGTCTGCAAAAGCGTCCTTGTAATCTGTGAGGCGGGACCAGCCTGAAATGTCATCATTGTTTCAAAGTCTTCTCCACAGACTGAAGTCCCTAAAAACACCGACTCCTCTGCCAGTTGTTTGAAGTTACGCCTAATTGAGTGAAACAGTACCAGACAAGAAACAAAGGCAATACTTCATATTGCTCTATTACATGTATTTACATGTTATGTTATGTCAATTGATGTCATTTTATGTGGTTGAAGACAATGAATCAGCTCTGCTCAACACGTCGCTGCCTTTGTCCGTGATAAAGCCGACACACTCTGCTGGAGCAGCTGGACGTGTCCTCGGGAACAAGAACTGCCAGGTACAGCGACTCAGCCAGGGTCTCAGCCATTGCCGAGGCAGGGACGATGGCTCTCTGTCATCCTGAGGCAGAAACGGCCACAGCTGAAGCAGCTGAAGCAGCTGATGTTCCCCATGTCGGTCCTGCTGCGACTCCTCCAGATCTTCCAGCGTGTCATCCCGTTGCGGGTTGGTCGCTTCCTTCTCCTCGCTCTCGTCTTCACCATTTGCAGAACGGCGGAGGGCTGCAGAAAATATACCTTAAGCCCACAGAGCTTCCCAAATGTATGTAGGTGGATGACTGAGCAAACTGCTGTTGTTTCATTTTTTAATTAATATATATATATAACTATATATATATATGACTATATATATATAATCTCTATACATATACTCCAAGGAAATGCACGGAATATGTGGCTATGGCACAATCGGAGACCTAGGCACCGCAAATGCTGATCATTTATTGCACCTAAACATCCCACATTTGGGGCCGCAAGCACAGGATCATGTGCCTTCGAGTCGGCTGCGGGAATTGGTAGCGAAGGCCACACTACACACCAAACCTGGAAGTGGAGCTGGAAAAGTTGGCAGCTTCATATCAACCAAAGGACAATGGACCTCATCATTATCGGAAATACAAAGACCATCAAAAAATCAAAGACCATATAAACAAATCATTATTATGACCAATCCTGTCCTGACTGTGATTTTTGGTGGTCGATTTGGAACCACTTACCCACCGGTTCTTCAATTTGGATCTACGCTAGTTTTATCAGGACTCTAAGGGGTGGTGCCCTAGATCTCCACGAATGGTTTCATGATACATCGATGGAACTAGTTGATGGAGGTTATTATAAACCAGAAAATCAGGGACCACTAGAAAATCTAGGAACGTCCTCCCAGGGATGCTAAAATTATGCTCCTGGATTTTGGGCACTTAAGCTACACAGAAAATCAGGGTCTCCCGACTCAGAGGTCTCCAAAAGTTGTTCTGTAGAAAATGAGGGGGTTGATAAAAGCAGCCTTTCATCAAAATCGAAGAATTTTCGCGCCAGAAAATCAGTCCTTCTTAGGGGGGTTGACCTCCCTGAAATCCTAGAGGAAACTCCAACCTCGTTATATAAACAATGTTGAAAGTTTGTAGACATTGCTGTCTCTCTCTTTCTTTGCAGCCAAAGTGACTTGGGTGATGTTTCGGAAAAGTGTGCGAAACCTCAGCATTCCAAACACAGCCAACCCCCCATAGGTGTGCAACGGAAGTCCAATCGTTGGGAGCCAAACAGCAGCTGCAACCCAAGCGCGAGGCAGTTCCTGGGCGTATTGCACGTTAAAGTCGAACTTCTGGCTCGACTCATATCCCCCCTTGTTTCTGGTTACACGGCTACCTTTACAGGTTAACTTGTCTTAAGCTTGCAGATCAGTTTATCAACTTTAAAACCGTACGACGTCTGATGTCCGATGGACTGCCGCCCGAGTTGCGGTGGTCAGCTCATCGACTGGAATCTTGTCAGACACTGCATTGCGCAAATAATGCCACAGCCACTGTAGGCAACTTTGTCCCTGCAAACACTCGAGCGCTTGAGCTGCACATGGAGAAGTGAGGGTGTTAAATTGTTTCTGGGTATATAAATAGTTAGTAGATATTAATGCTCGAAGGAAGTTTAGAAGTCAAACTTCCGACAAAATAAGCAGAGATGGGAAGAGTCAGAGAAGAGAAGAGAAGAGAAGAGAAGAGACGAGAAGAGAGGAGAGGAGAGGAGAGGAGACGAGACGAGACGAGAAGAGAAGAGAAGAGAAGAGAGGAGAGGAGAGGAGACGAGACGAGAAGAGAAGAGAGGAGAGGAGACGAGAAGAAGGAAGAAGGAAGAAGGAAGAAGGAAGAAGGAAGAAGGAAGAAGGAAGAAGGAAGAAGGAAGAAGAAAGAAGAAAGAACAAAAAACAAAGAAGAAAGAAGAAAGAACAAAAAACAAAGAAGAAAGAAGAAAGAACAAAGAACAAAGAACAAAGAACAAAGAAGAAAGAAGAAAGAAGATCAAAAGAGAAAGTCCCCGAAGAAAGAAGATCCAGGTGTGCGAAAAGGTAGTAAAGTCGCGAAGCACTGTGTTTTTCCAATGATTTGTGGCTCAGGAGGGTCGAAAAGTAGGCTCGCTAAAGCGGCGGGTGCGGAGCCAGCTGGCCAGATGAGAGATGACAAATTGCACGCCGTTGTGGCGCGAAGCACATTTCGAAGCCAAAAAGCTAAAAACAATTCACATGCGGGTCACTTTTGAAGCTGAGATGTTAAAAAAATGCACGCCGTTGTGGCGCGAAGCACATTTCCAAGTCAAAATGTACAAAGCACCTCAGCTCCGGAGCACTTTTGGAAGTTGAGATGTCGAAAAAATGCACGCCGTTGTGGCGCGAAGCACATTTCGAAGTCAAAAAGCTAAAAACACCTCACGATCGGGGCACTTTTGGAAGTTGAGATGTTGAAAAAGTGCACGCCGTTGAGGCGCAAAGCACATTTCCAGGTCAAAATGTACAAAACACCACATGATCGCGCCACTTTTGGACGTTGAAGCGTCGTTTTGCGTTGCAGGCGCAAGGGATTGTGCACCTTGTCAAAAGTGAGCAAAACATGAGGGTTTTGTGGCATTTCCCAAAACGAGGCTGCAAAGGTGCATTTTCCGTGGCAGGCGCAGAGCAAGAGACATGTTCATCAGAGATGTTAGGAGGTCCGGGCGCTGAGTTCCTGAGAGGGGTTGCATTTTGGAGCATCAGAGATTCAGGTTTGCTGAGATGATTTTGCGTGACAGGTGCAGTACTTCGTATGACCCGGTATCACTTTTTCGTGGCAGGCGCAGCACTTTAGACAGATGGAGTGGAAAAATCGCAAAACGCATTGGTACGAAGCTGTCTGCTCTGCATCTCAACTTTCCATTTTTGAAGGAAGTCTGGCAGAATTGCTTCGTTTTTGATGTTGTCAACTTCAAAAGATGAGGAAGTCTCGCAGACTTTCTTTGTTTTTGACGTTGTCAAATTCAAAAATTGAGGAAGTCTCGCAGAATTGCTGCGTTTTTTGAGTTGCCAAGTTCAAAAGCTGAGGAAGTGTCGCAAAATAGCTGCGTTTTCAAGCTTGCAGATAGACAGATAGATAGATAGATAGATAGATAGATAGGATAGATAGGATAGATAGGATCGATAGGATCGATAGGATCGATAGGATCGATAGGATCGATAGGATCGATAGGATCGATAGGATCGATAGGATCGATAGGATCGAAAGGATCGATGGGATGGATAGGATCGATAGGATCGATAGGATCGATAGGATCGATAGGATCGATAGGATCGATAGGATCGATAGGATCGATAGGATCGATAGGATCGATAGGATCGATAGGATCGATAGGATCGATAGGATCGATAGGATCGATAGGATCGATAGGATCGATAGGATCGATAGGATAGGATAGGATCGATAGGATCGATAGGATGGATAGGATCGATAGGATGGATAGGATCGATAGGATCGATAGGATAGATAGGATGGATAGGATGGATAGGATGGATAGGATAGATAGGATGGATAGGATAGATAGGATAGATAGGATAGATAGGATAGATAGGATAGATAGGATAGATAGGATAGATAGGATAGATAGGATAGACAGGATAGACAGGATAGATCGGATAGATCGGATAGATAGGATAGATAGGATAGATAGGATAGATAGGATAGATAGGATAGATAGGATAGATAGGATAGATAGGATAGATAGGATAGAAAGGATAGATAGGATAGATAGGATAGATAGGATAGATAGGATAGATAGGATAGATAGGATAGATAGGATAGATAGGATAGATAGGATAGATGGATAGATAGGATAGATAGGATAGATAGGATAGATAGGATAGATAGGATAGATAGGATAGATAGGATAGATAGGATAGATAGGATAGATAGATAGATAGATAGATAGAAGGATAGATAGGATAGATAGGATAGATAGGATAGATAGGATAGATAGGATAGATAGGATAGATAGGATAGATAGGATAGATAGGATAGATAGATAGATAGATAGATAGATCGATAGATAGATAGATAGGAAGATAGATAGATAGATAGGAAGATAGATAGATAGATAGATACATAGATAGGTAGATAGCTAGCTAGCTAGCTAGATAGATAGATAGGATAGATAGGATAGATAGGATAGATAGGATAGATAGGATAGATAGGATAGATAGGATAGGATAGGATAGGATAGGATAGGATAGGATAGATAGATAGATAGATAGATAAGATAGATAGGATAGATAGGATAGATAGGATAGATAGGATAGATAGGATAGGTGGGATAGATAGATAGATAGGTAGGTAGATAGACAGACAATTACAACTACAACTAGAACTACAACTAGAACTACACTACACTACTGCTACAACTACAAATACATATATATATGTATATATATATACATGTTACGCTACATTTCACTACACTAATGACACTACACTACACTAATTAAATCTAATTACACTACACTACACCAATTACACTACAACTACAACTACAACAATTACTACCACAACTACAATTACAATTGCACTACACTACACTACACTAATTACACTGCAGCACACTACAGCTACAAATACAAGTACGACTACAACCACACTACACTACACAACACAACACTACACTGATTACATTGCACTACACTACAACTACAACCACGGCTACAACTGCAACTACAACTACAACTACCACTACACTACACTACACTAATTACACTGCACTACGCTACAACTGCAGCTACACTAAGTTTACACTACACTATACTATACTACACTATACCACACTACACTACACTACACGACATTACACTGCACTACAATACACTAATTACACCACACCACGACTACAACTGCAACTGCACTTGCAACTACACTAATTACACCACATTACAACTACAACTCCACTCCACTACGCTACACTACAACTACAGCTGCAACTACAACTACAACTGCGCTACACCGCACTACATCCAGCAGTTGTGGTAAGGTGACCACTGCAACCATTGCAACCGTTCCAAAAAACACAACTCCAACCACCTGTCGGTCCATCAGTGGATTCGCTCTGCCATCCGTGATTCACAACAACCAACCTCTCCTATAGGTTTCCTATTTTTGAAACTTCCGCCACCGCCTTGTGCGGTACTACTGGTATGTCATTAATATTCATTAATATGTCTCTAACTTGGGACCTCCCAACCTCTGAAACACAAAATAACAAACTTCACCTTGCCTCACCCTGGTAGAGCGGGTGCCATTTTTCTACGGCCATTGCCACCTCTACGATGCTGGCAGCCTTTGCAGCAAACCTCAGACGCGGAAAACTTGTGGTTGCTGATTGTTGTTTTGATCCAAGTTGTCCAAGAAGGAAACTGATTTGTGTTCGAAAATTGGACATTGATTCTCAAGTAGCAATGATTGACATAGCAACGTTTATGGCGAAAATGGTGATACAGTAATCCACTGGAAGTGGAAATTTTCAGCACAGCGCCTTCGCCATGGGAGGATCTGCCCCTGCATTTCATCCAAGGCTTTCGCGGCAGCTTTTTGCCTTGGTGACCATCCTCCATTCTTTGGGAAAATCAACCAACTTTGGACCATAAAAGTATATGAGGTCCCAAATGGGGTTTGTCTGAAAGTACAGTAACCACCATGTGTAGATTTCCGTTGTTTGTGTATTAATACATGTATACATATATACATCACACATATATATATATGCATATAATCATGATGGGTACTTGCAACATGACCATTTTGGGCGTACCCTATTTTCAGCCACACCTATAGGATGTAGTTCTGCAAGTTTGAATGCAAAAGATTGCAAAGTCTGGACTGCAGCCAAGCTTCTCCTCCGCATACTCCACATGGTGTTGCTTCATCTTCAACATCTGTCCGCACACGTAACACAGAGAATGGGTGAGTGCAGTACACTCGAAAGGAAACCAAAAGTGGTGCGCAACTTTGAATCTCGGCGAAAATCACCGCATAGAATTGCAGCAATAGAAGGGTCCTCTCTTTTTCGGCTTTACGATTACTTGCAATCATTTTACCAAACCGAGGGATCAGCGCAATCGAGCGCTTAAGGAATTTATTGGTCTGATGAACTATATCACAACCAATGTCAACTTGATGCCAACTCCCCTGACGATGCGATAAAATCAATATCAACACGATGTAATACGGGGGCTTCCTAAAATTGGGACCTCAACATCATGCAAAATTTGTCATTGACAATGGGGACACCTATGGTATCTATGGGCCTCCCATCTTAGGAAACCCCCGAATTCAATGGTTTGCCATCATGTTTCCTTTTAACCTGTCCACAATTTATTGGGGTTCAATCTCACAACTTTTGTCGGACAAACCATCAAACCCAGATTTAGTCGGCAATATTTAAGAGTTTGATAGAATTTGTCTATGTTCGTCTGAAAATGGTGATGTGCACCCCACTTTTTATGGTCATTTTATGATGTATAACTGTATAAATTATCTAACTAGGAGCACGGCCTTTAGAAGGCCGCGGGGTTTTTGTGACCAACGGGATGTCATGGATCATGTTTGATGTGCTCGTGCCAATGGGAATTTGTTTGATGTGATTAAGGCCGTTAACCCCTTATTCTGTGCAGTTTTTCAAAAACATGTATTTCGCCTAGACGAAACTAGCATTTTTGTTTTTTTTTGCCGAGGCTGAAACTAATTCGCCCTGACATGTTTTGAGTCGTCTTTTGGTCAGAGCAGCGCTTCTAGTTCTTCCAAGAACCTTTGAGGATCTGGATTTTCTAAGCTAGAGCGCCAGCACCACATGAACACATATTGTGTCACTGAAGGGTGCAAAGTGGAATGCCCACGGTCTTTGTCATGCTTAAAACCATGTGAGCTGGCAAGAAGTCTTTCGAAGACTTCCAGGACCGGCCCAACGTTTGGGTCCCAGCAATGTTGGATACACATCGAAAAATCTTCGATTCAGCAAGTTCACATGAACGTTCATACATGCCCCACCCCACCCCACCCCACCCCACCCCACCCCACCAACGTCCACAAAACACCACGGCCTTCTAAAGGCCGTGGTCCAACTAGATAGTTCATGATATTTCTATTTTTGAAAATGACCAAACCCTGGGATTTGGGTGACCAACCCACCTCCTGAGCCAAGGCCACGTCCAATGGAATAGTGTGTTCTCGATCAGCAGCCACCTGGCAAATCACATGGCGACATACCGATGCCATGATGCCTCGATCTTTTCTATACCGATGTATGGCAATTTCAATAGGGACATTATATGACATTTAAAAAAAGTGAATTTATTAAACACTGACAAACTATTTCATTTTAATTTTAAGGATTTTCCCAAAAAAAACATGGCAAGCCCATGCAGTTGGAGACTCCAGGTTCCCAGGCTTTTGTGAGCATATCCTCGTTCAAGGTCTTCTCATTGGACAAAGCCATCCTTGGAGGCATCAAAGGGAGCTCCAGTGGACCTTTTAGGTCTTTGGTGCCCTGCCTACTGAATCAACCGAACCATTGAATTGTTCTTGACTTCTGGATCCACCTAGGTCCGCTGGCCATTGCTTGTTGGTCGCTTCTCCAAGGAGTCTGAACAGCTGGCCATCGGCAATTTCAAGGGTTTCCTTGGTCCGGAACAAGACCCCTGACACCGACAGTTGTTTTTTGGGCGGAATCGCAAAAGCGGAAAACCCTCTGCAAAGCTGATTGCGCGAAAGGAATGAAAACCATAGAGCTGTGATTTTCCATCTCCGCAATCTCCGCTGAGAGTCTGCTAGAATGTACTCCTGCAAAGCCTTGACAGGGCAAAGGGCAACCCTATGTGTGAGTCGCGGAACTATGATGAACTGTTAGCAAATGAATTAATTCTCATTTCATAGGTAAGCTATCTAGCCGCAAATACCCAAGCAATTCAGCTAAACCCTTCAGTGAGTGCAACACACCAGAACCCGATGTTAACTGGCCTGCAAGTCGCAGCAGTTGATCACAAACCCAACGTGCTCATAGGACTTTGGAGCCCGAGTCCCATTGGACAACCTCAAGAGATGTCACAGATCAAAAACTACTCCAACAAAGTCCCAAACAGTGAACTCCTTGTTGGTGTTGCGTGCTGCGATGCTCCTGCTTCACGTTCACATCATTCCCATTTTTGTGAATCCAAAATAATCCAAATAGCTATCCTATGCATCCCACACACCTGGCTTTGACATAATTGCACCCCAGGATTGGGACCCTTCGGAGAGCTTTCATTTTAAAGCTGCGGGCTCCCAAAGTCACTAGTCGCTGGAGAACCATTTTGGTTTGGAGACGATACTTAGAAGACACCACGTGACTATGCCCCAAACTAGGGAGCGTTCAAACTTCGCAAAAATAGTTACTTCTTCGTAGTGACGTCGTAGTGGCGAAACCAGCATACTTGAACTTGTGGGCCCACAATATCAATATAGCCAGGAGTCAGAAAAAGCTGCCCAGGGGGAAGGTCCTTCACGGCAGCTACACTGCAAAAGCTAACATCGCGACCGGGTGCCCACATGTTCAAGGAAGAACAAAGGAAGGAAAAAATAATGGGAAAAAAAACCAGGTTGGAAGACGGAACCAACAAAGTTTGTCTCTACCAGACCTATCTCGCATGAAATTGCTGTCCTTTTGAGATTGCAGCCATGACTGAAGTGCAGGGTGGAGCTGCGGAGGATCATCGTCTACTTTACCTGACTGCATTTTCTTGAGTCATAAGCAGAAACCTGCAAAGACTCCCTGATCTTTGTCAGCATCTGTCACCACGTGCAGCCATTGGTTTGCGAAGTTTCCCATCTGTCCCGTCGTCGCAAGCAAGTTGCTGAAATCTTCCCCCAAACAGAGCAATAATGAGGAGGATTTGCTCCTCAGATCAGCGTGAATTCAGTTCCATTCAGTGCCCTGCGAAATCAGTGACTGACCCAATGACTTTGACCCACGGAAAATGCGCAGAAGCTTTCTCATTGCTGCCACGTGGCTTCCTTGCAGCCTTGGAAAGGCACGCACTGAGAAGCTGGAAAGCAGAAGATTGTACAATGAATATATACATATATTATACATACATACATACATACATACATACATACATACATACATACACACATACATACATACATACATACATACATACATACATACATTACATATACATATATATATATATAAATTAAAAAAACATGATTTTGCGATAGCAGCAAGGATGTGTTGATTGAATACAATTGCCTCACTGATGATTGTGCGTTCCAAGCTGTTTCCGGCCAAAATGTGTGTTTCCGAACCTGGATGTCTTCCATAGGATGCGAGCCCAAGCAGCTCCTTGGTATGCCGACTGGATCCGACTAGGGGAGCATTATTTGGAATCATCGGCTGGACATGTCCTCCAAATGCCCTCGAACGATTGTGATATGCCCAAAAAAATCAACAATTTGCACAAAAAAACACAAGGTGGGTGGGCCAGAGAACCCAAAAGCAAGACGGCACACAGTCACACAGCACCCTTTTTTAAAAAAAATCTTGTGGTGGCGGCAGCTGTGCTCTGCACGAAATCGACGCAAGATCTTTATTGAAACATCGTGCGCACTGATGGTATCAGGGGCCACAATTCACCACAGCATGCTGCGTCAGTTGACGATTGCTGCTGATGTAATTATATAAGTCTATCCCATCTTTCTAGTCGCTATTTATTCTGGGTTCTCGTTTAATTTGCTTCGCCGCAGGGGGAGCGAGGACGAAGCGTGGACGGACAGAACACCGTGCGACATGAAAACTAAATGACGGAGAGAGTTGACCAAAAGAGCATGAAAACGAAGATATGAAGATGACAGATCGCGAACGATAATGAAAAATGAATCATGGTGAAAGATGGGTAAAGACTTCTCTGTACAAAAGCTTCTATGCGCAAAAGTTACTGTGTGTAAACGCGTCTGTGCGTAAAAGTTTCTTTGCGTAAAAATTCCTCTGTGTAAGGATTCTTGTGAAAACACTTCTGTGCGTAAAGGCTTCTGTGTGCAAAAGTTTCTGTGCGTAAAAGTTTCTTTGCATAAAAGTTTCTGTGTGTAAAGCTCCTCTGTGTGTAAACGTTTCTGTGTGTAAAAGCTGCTCTGTGTAAAAGTTTCTTTGTGTAAAAGCCTCTGTGTGTAAAAGCTTGTGTGTAAAATAAATCTCTGAGTAAAAGCCTCTGAGTATACAAGCTTCTCTGTGTAAAATCTCCTCATGTAAAAGCTCCTCTGTGAAAAAGCTGCTCGGTGTAAAAGTCTCTGTGTGTGCAAGCTTCTCTGCGTCAAGACTTCTTTGTGTAAATAAAGACTTCTCTGTGTAAAAACTGCTCTGTGTAAAGGCTTCTGTGTGTGTGTGTGTAAAAGCTTCGCTGTGTAAACGCCTCCGTGTGTGAAGACTCCTCTGTATAAACGCGTCTCTGTGTAAAAGCTCCTCTGTGCAAAGGCTTTTTTGTGTAAAAGCTTCTGTGTGTAAAAGCTTCTGTGTGTCTGTGTGTACAAGTTTCTGTGTGTAAAAGCTTCTGTGTGCAACAAGTTCTTTGTGTAAAAGCTTCTGTGTATAAAAGCTCCCCTGTGTGTACAAGCTTCGCTGTGTAAAAGCTGCTCTATGTAAAAGTTCTGTGCGCCGTAAAGTTGTCTGTTTGTAAAACCTTCTGTGTGTGAACGCGTCTGTGTGTGCAAGATTCTGTGTGCAAAAGCTCCTCTGTGTAAAGACTTCTCTGTGTACAAGCGTCTGTGCGTAAAAACTCCTCTGTGTAAAGACTTCTCTGTGAAAACGCGTCTGTGCGTAAAAGCTTCTCTGTGTAAGACTTCTCGGTGTAAAAAGCTTATCTGTGTAAAAGCTTCTGTGTGTAAAAGCTTTCCCGTGTAAAAGCTTCCTTGTGCAAAAGCTTCTGTGTGTAAAAACTTCTCTGTGCAAAGGCTTTTTTGTGTAAAAGCTTCTGTGTGTAAAAGCTGCTCTGTGTAAAAGTTTCTGTGCGCCGTAAACGCCTCTATTACTATTTGTAAAACCTTCTGTGTGTAAACGTGTCTGTGTGTAAAAGCTTCTGTGTGTAAATCTCCTTTGTGTATAAGGACTTCTCTGTGTAAAAGCTCCTGTGTGTCAAGACTTTTCCCTATAAAAGCCGTAAAGGCTTCTGTGTGTAAACGCGTCCGTGTGCCAAGACTCCTCTTTGTAAACGCGTCTGTGTGTCAAGACTCCTCTGTGTAAAAGTTTCTGTGTAAAGGCTTGTTTGTATAAAAACTTCTGTGTGTAAAAGCTTCTGTGTGTAAGAGCTTCTCTTTTAAGGGCTTTCCCGTGTAAAAGCTTCTGCGTGTAAAAGCTTCTGTGTGTAAAGCTACTCTGTGTAAAAGCTTCTGTGTGTAAAAGCTTTTCTGTAAAAAAGCTCCTCTGTGTAAAGGCTTATCCGTGTAAACGCGTCTGTGCGTAAAAGCTCCTCTGTGTAAGACTTCTCGGTGTAAAAAGCTTATCTGTGTAAAAGCTTGTGTGTGTAAAAGCTTTCCCGTGTAAAAGCTTCCTTGTGCAAAAGCTTCTGTGTGTAAAAACTTCTCTGTGCAAAGGCTTTTTTGTGTAAAAGCTTCTGTGTGTAAAAGCTTCTGTGTGTAAGAGCTTCTCTTTTAAGGGCTTTCCCGTGTAAAAGCTTCTGCGTGTAAAAGCTTCTGTGTGTAAAGCTACTCTGTGTAAAAGCTTCTGTGTGTAAAAGCTTTTCTGTAAAAAAGCTCCTCTGTGTAAAGGCTTATCCGTGTAAACGCGTCTGTGCGTAAAAGCTCCTCTGTGTAAGACTTCTCGGTGTAAAAAGCTTATCTGTGTAAAAGCTTGTGTGTGTAAAAGCTTTCCCGTGTAAAAGCTTCCTTGTGCAAAAGCTTCTGTGTGTAAAAACTTCTCTGTGCAAAGGCTTTTTTGTGTAAAAGCTTCTGTGTGTAAAAGCTGCTCTGTGTAAAAGTTTCTGTGCGCCGTAAACGCCTCTATTACTATTTGTAAAACCTTCTGTGTGTAAACGTGTCTGTGTGTAAAAGCTTCTGTGTGTAAATCTCCTTTGTGTATAAGGACTTCTCTGTGTAAAAGCTCCTCTGTGTAAAGACTTCTCTGTGCAAAAGGCTTCTCACTGTAACAGCCTCTGTGTGTACAAGCTTCTCTGTGTCAAAACTTCTCTGTGTAAAAACTTTTGTGTAAAAGCTACTACTCTGCGTGAAAGCTTCTGTGCGTAGAGGCTTCTGTGTGTAAACGCGTCCGTGTGTCAAGACTCCTCTGTGTAAACGCGTCTGTGTGTAACAGTTTCTGTGTAAAGGCTTTTTTTGTGTAAAAACTTCTGTGTGAAAGAGCTTCTCTGTGTAAAGGCTTTCCTGCGTAAAAGCTTCTGTGTGTAAAAGCTTCTGTGTTTAAAGCTCCTCTGTGTGTACAAGCTTCTCTGTGTAAAAGCTCCTCTGTGTAAAAGCGGCCATGTGTAAAACCCGTGCCAACAGCTCCGCATTTTCAGTGCCACTCCCTCCCAGCAGAGCTCTTCCCAAGCTATTTCCCCACCTGTCCGTTCACGCTGATGCATATCCTATGCTTGGGTTCTCGTTTAGGTGGCTTCGCTGGGAAGGGAGCGAAACCTAGCATCGACGGACAGAACGCCGTCTAAAATGAAAACCCCTCCAGCAAAGAACTTTTTCCCATGCATGTCCCTTTGCCCAACGTTTAGAAACCATTTGAATCCATTTGAGAAGTCTTTGGCACCAGTTTTTCGATAATCGACGGAATTTGTCCTGAAAAATCCGCGCCAACAGCTCTGCTCTTTTAGTCTCGCTCCCTGCCAACGAAGCTATGCATGTCCCATGGCCCGGGTTTGGAAACTTTGGCAGGTCTTGGGTGCAAAGTTTTTCGGAACAATCGTATTGGTGAAATTTGTCCTGAAAAAAAACGTGCCAACAGCTGTGCATTTTTAGTGTCGCTCCCTACCAACGAAGCATAATGAAGCTATGCATGTCCCATCGCCCAACATTTGCAAACCATTTGAAAAGTCTTGGGTGCACAATTTTTTGAGACAATCGCATTGATGGAAGAGAGTACTCCCCAAGCTATTTCCCACGGTTGTTTCCTGTCCGTCCACGATGTCCACGCATCCGTCTCGCTTCTTCCCAACGGACCTCTCCCCAAGCTATTTCCCACGGTTTGCCCCTCCGTCCACCCTGATGTCGCTTCCGTATCGCTCCTTCCCAACGGACCTCTCCCCAAGCTATTTCCCACGGTTTGCCCCTCCGTCCACCCTGATATCGCTTCCGTATCGCTCCTTCCCAAGCTCTCCGCTCTTTCCCAACGAAGCTCTCCCCAAGCTGTTTCCCACGGTTTCCCCTCCGTCCACCCTGCCGCTGCTTCCGTCCCCTTCCCTCCCAACGGAGCTCTCCCAGGAGCTCTCCCCAAGCTATTTCCCATGTCGTTCCCAACGGAGCTCTCCCAAGTTATTCCCTGCGGTTCCCCCTCCATCCACCCTGTCGTCGCTTCCATCTCGCTCCTTCACAACGGAGCTATCCCCACGGCTCCTTCCCTCCCAACGGAGCTCTCCCCAAGCTATTTCCCACGGTTTCCCCTCCGTCCACCCTGTCGTCGCTTCCATCTCGCTCCTTCCCAACGGAGCTCTCCCCAAGCTATTTCCCACAGCTTCCCCTCCGTCCACCCTGTCGTCGCGTCCATCTCGCTCCTCCCAACGGAGCTCTCCCCAAGCTATTTCCCACGGTTTCCCGTCTGTCCACTCTGCCGTGGCTCCCGTATCGCTCCTCCGCGGCAAAGTAAACTAAACGAAAACCCAAGCATCGGAGATGCTTTTGGGAATAAACCCTAAAAATGATGATAAATCCGGAAAATGATGATAAATGATCTTGTAAAGCATGAAATTGGGCTGTTGCCCCAGTTTAAGACACGCCCTCATTTAAAACCCTTCAAACCTCGATGGGATAGTCTCTCTCGATGCAAGCGTCGTCAATGTGATCTCTGAGCAGATTGAGGCTGTCATCACTGGAAGCTGCTTGTCCAACCACTGCCTGGATCAAAATGACCCCATTTTGTTCCAAAAAATGGCAGATACCCCAATGTATTGCAAATTCAATGGCAAAAATGAAGATAAGCCATGGGGTTCAAAGTTTTGAGATGACCCCTCATTGTGCTGATAATTTTTCCAAACATACCCTCCACTAATCAAACAGGCAATTCCAAATCCCTTTTGAATGGGAATTTAGATGACAAATTAAATTGAAACAAATGGAAACAGATATCTTTAAATGTGGAGTTCATCCGTTGTGATGTTGGAATACGGGTACTCTTTACATGGCCAGGTCTCACGGTGTCCGGCCTTGCAATGCCCAATGGGTCCAGCAATAGAGGGACAGGCCGCCGGCTACAAAAGAGAGAGGCCGCCAACTGCACGGGGAAATGACCTACGCTCCCATCAGGCAGCTCCAAGTCCTGGCGTCCAAAAATGGGGTATCGCTATATTAACGGTATACCGGTATACCCCCATTTTGACAATTTTAATGGGAAACAATTTGCAGCTTTTCAAGCCGTTTCTCCTGCACTTTGCAGCTTTCTGCCATCATGTAGAGAAGACGATCTGCTGAAAGTTCGTGTTCATCAGCCCTGGTGCCAAGGTGACAGTAACAAGGGGAGGAGAACGTCATAAGGGATACATGATAGTTCCTTGGCATTTCCAGCCAACTCAAGTCACAATGTCATTCAATTCCTGGGGAAAACCTCTCACTCTCAATGTCTTGGGAACTAGAAAATCTTGAAGCCAAGGGTCTCCACCAATTCCTCTTGCTCACAAATCGTTTGCCACTGTGCTAAAACGTCGTCCTGCAGGCAGGCAATAACACAGCTGGGTTTGACCCCAAGATGGCCGTTTTAACGGGAAAAACGATACGAGTAGTAGTAAATCATTGGGGTAAATATATGCAAATGAACCCATATGAAGTTCTGAGTGTCAGGAACGCACCAGTCTTGTATAAAAGCGCCATCCCACCTTCTTCTCTTTCAAGAAGCATCCATAGTGAGCTAAGAACGAACCCAAAAGAAACCTGCCACGAAACAGTGTCAGTTCTTGCCTTTCAAACACCTGGAGATGGTGACATGTCTAAGTGCCGTTACATCTCATCTTTTTCAAATCTCACAAGTTCCCAATGTCCTTTTGCAACCACCATGTGGATTCGTCCTAATATATCCAAAAAAGATGACGGGGCAAAAACCCTTCACATGGTGACAATGACAATAAACCATGGCAATTCCATCTACGAGTGCCATCCGGTAATCCAACATGGCGTGCTGGAAAATCCTCCCTTAGTTCGATGATTTTCCCATACCAGTAGTGCTGCCGCGCAAGGCGGTGGCGGAAGTTTCAAAAATAGGAAACCTATAGGGGAGGTTGGTTGCTGTGAATCACAGATGGCAGAGGGAATCCACTGATGGACCGAAAGGTGGTTCAAGTTGTGTTTTTGGAGTGGTTGCAATGGTTGCAGTGGTCACCTTACCACAATTGCTGGATGTAGTGTGGTGTAGCGCAGTTGTAGTTGTAGTTGTAGCTGTAGTGTGGTGTAGTGGAGTTGTAGTTGTAATGTGAAATAAGTGTAGTGTAGTTGCAGTTGTAGTTGTAGTTGTGGTGTGGTGTAATTAGTGTAGTGTATTGTAGTGTACTGCAGCGTTGTGTACTGTAGTGTGGTATAGTGTAGTGTAGTCTAGTGTAGTGTAGCGTAAGGTAGTGTAGTTGTAGTTGTAGTGTGGTGTAGGGCAATTAGAGTGTAGCGTCGTGTAGTGCAATGTGGCGGTAGTTACACTTGTAGTTGCAGCTGCAGTTGCAGCTGTAGCGTAATGTAATGTAATTAGTGTAGTGTAGTGTTGTGTAATGTAGTGTAGTTGTAGTCGCATTTGTATTTGTAGTTGTGGTGTGCTGCAGTGTAATTAGTGCAGTGTAGTGTAATGTGGTGTAGTTGATATTGTTGCTGTAGCTGTTGTAGTAGTTGTTGCTGTAGTCGTAGTGTAATTAGCGTAGTGCAGTGTAATTAGATGCAATTAGCGTAGTGTACTGTAATTAGTGTAGAGTAATGTAGCATAGTTTATTTGTATTTGTAATTATTGTAGTAGTGGTGGTGGTGGTGGTAGTAGTAGTAGTAGCAATAGTAGCAGTAGCAGTAGCGGTAGCAGTAGCAGTAGCAGTAGTAGTAGTAGTAGCAGTAGTAGTAGTATAATAGTAGTCTGGTGGTAGTCGTAGTTGCAGTTGTAGTTGTAGTTGTCTATCTATCTATCTATCTATCTATCTATCTGTCTATATGCAATCTGCAAGCTTGAAAACGAAGCAATTCTGCGAGACTTCCTCAACTTTTGAACTTGATAACGTCAAAAAGGAAGCAGTTCTGCGAGACTGCGAGACTTTCTCTATTTTCGAAGTTGACAAAAGCAAAAACGAAGCAATTCTGCGAGACGTCCTCAATTTTCGAAGTTGACAAAAGCAAAAACGAAGCAATTCTGCGGACTTCCTTCAAAAATGGAAAGTTGAGTGCAGAGCTGATGGCCTCATACCAATGCATTTTGCGATTTTTCCGGTCTACGTCTCTAAAGTATTGCGCCTGCCACGAAAAATTGATGCCAGGTCACACGAAGTGCTGCACCTGCTACGCAAAATCACTTCCCAAAACTGAATATCTGATGCTCCAAAATGAAACCCCCTCTCAGGAAATCAGTGCCCAGACCTCCTAACATCTCTGATGAACATGTCTCTTGTACTGCGCATGCCACGCGAAATCATCTTTGCAGATCCTCTGCAAATGTCCCACGCCTGCCATCGTTTTTAGAAATGCTACAAAACCCTCACGCTTTCCTCACTTTTGGCAAGGTGCAGAATCCCTTGCGCCTGCCACGCAAAACCACATCTGAACCTTCAAAAGTGGTCCGCGCATGTGGTGTTTTTAACATTTTGACTTGGAAACATATTTCGTGCCACAGCGGCGTACACTTTTTCGACATCACAACTTCCAAAAGTGCTCCGAGACCGTTAGTTTTTCACGCTTTTGACTTTGAAATGTGCTTCGCGCCACAACGGTATGCACTTTTTCGGCATCACAACTTCCAAAAGTGGTCCGACCCTGGTGTGCTTTCTACATTTTGACTTGGAAATGTGCTTCGCGCCACAACGGCGTGCAACTTTGAAAAACTCTCATCTGACCACATGGCTCGCACCAGCCGCTTTAGCGAGCCTACTTTTCGACCCTCCTGAGCCACAAATCATTGAAAAAACACAGTGAATCGCGACTTTCCTACCTTTTCGCGCATCTGAATCTTCTGTCTTCTGACTCTTTCTCTTCCCTGATATTCTTTCTTCTTTTTTTTTCTTCTCTGACTCTTCCCACCTCTGCTTTTCATCTGTCGATATTGTCGGAAGTTTGACTTCTAAATTTCCTTCGATTATACATATGTGTATGTATAGCTCATTTGGTTATTGGGTTTGATGACATGGATGGCAATTCCAGTAATCACCATTAATCACCATTAATCACCATTAATCACATTAATCACCATTCTTGGACCCTGCTTAGACCATTCTTAGACCATATTAAACCATATTCAAAAAAAAACATCTAGAACCATATCAAACTGCCATGAAATTAGCCATCTGCGAATCTGCGAGCCATGGCACTTGCCCGGCAGCTGTGCCATCTGTCGATCCATGTCTTTATGTCGAGTATGCCATGCCAAGACCTGAGACAATCTGCGACCTCTCAGGGATCTGGAGCTCCAAGATCCACTGATTTATTGCACTGTATATAGTTGATTGTAATTTATTGGAGTTAAACATGGTTAAACCATGTTAAACCAAGTTGAACCACGTTAAACCATGTTAAACCCATAGTTTGGAAATCTCCATGGTTTACCGGAACTCCATGTTGAACTGGCTGGCTTTGGGCCCAGGATCTTCATCACAGGACACGAACTCACGGATGCTGGCCACGCCATCCAACTGCAGAACATCTTGGAGGATTCACTACAGATACCGTAAGTTCGTCGGCAAATTGAGCTCTTGAAGAATATCAAGATACATCATGATAGATCATATCATATACATTTATACGATATAATATATATATACATACAGACACACATACGTATCAATATATAGAGATAATGAACGAATCTTTGAAAGTCTCAAGCATAGTGACTATCCATGACTATCCTCGGCACCGACAAAATTGGCGGAGATTGCAAGATTGAAGTCCCGCAGTGCGGGCCTCTTCGTTGGAGTATTGGATGCTGCCTCGGGCCTGGCCGATCCAAAACACAGACTGCAGCGACAGTTCCGCCTTCCAAACGGCCCGCCCAAACTCTGGCCTTGGCTCTGTCCGACTGCCTGTCACAGCTGTAGGTGCAGTTTGTCAAATCGTTTGCACGTACGTCTAAGCCTGCATAAACTCAAAGAGATTCAAAGCCTCAACGTGCTTTAAGAGAATGACGGGGAAAAAATAATACACTGACAACGGAGGGCACAGGAATGGTACTGTTCCCCTAGAAGCAAAATATACTCGTGCAGAGTACACCACTATGAATTGCCACCAAATCGAAACAGCTATACCCTCCTGGTCTGGATCTGCTGCTTGATGTCCAAAATCTGATCAGTAAGTGCCTCAAGGGCCTGCAACAGGAGTGAATTCTCTGACCGCATCTGATGGAAATCCAGAAAGTAGGAAACTTCGGGAAGGCGATTCTGTCTCCTGGGTATCGTTCGAAAGATTGCTGTTTTGTGCAGTCCTCTTCTGCACTTTCGACCTCCTTCACCTTCTGTTGATAGCAGCCCTGACAGAGCCCAGCTGATGAGGTTGTTGCAGAGCTGAATGCAAAAAGAGTCTGCGCAGAGCTTGGTGGTTTCATTCAATGACAAGGCCAATATGTAGTACATTTTAGTACTAGGGTACCGCTTCTTGAACTCACCGATCTTCTGAACCTCTGCTTTTTTCAGTGTTGCCACATCATCTTCCACCTCAGCAACTCCGTTAAAACAGCCCTGCCGAAGCCAAGTCAAACGAGTCAAATAAATATAATCGGCTGGGGCACGAGTTCAAGAGCAATGGGGACCCTCAAGAATCCATGTTGTCAATGCACATGAGCCGAGGCATCACCAGTACACATGCGTACAATGACGACACAATCGATCGCTGATCTGAGAAGCACACGGATTTCCAGGTTCTGACCTTGATGGCCAGGAATTGCTGTGCCCTGTTCCAAATGAAACTGTGACACTTTTACCTATATCCAATTGTCCAAAGAAACGTATCCCATATCCAAGCGTTTAACATCAAAAAAATACCACCTCTAAAAGTACCTATGTTTTATCTTTTTTAGGATTGTTTTTGGTGTAGCCATCCAGATCCCCAGACATCCCATCCCATCCGTGCCAAGGCGCTGATGCTACGAAAGCATGGAGCCACTCAGCCAGAGCTTCGCCCAAGACTCGGCCTGGTTCATCCACCAATCCACCCAGCGCCTGCAGCCTAGGAGCCAGGCTTCCAGGGGGGGGTTCTTAGTAGTATGCTTGACTATTACACATTATTATTGTGGATGTCCAAAGATATATGTGGATATACTTAGTGGATTTCAAGTGGTCTTGGAGGGATTACTATTTAGTGGTATACTGGTGATTTCCGGATGTTTGGGTCAGGGACACCTCAGTGGAGATGTCTATGGTTACCCCCCCACATCTGAGCGACGGACTCTTCCAGGCGTTCATGCACCAGCGCGGCACGTTCTGTGGAGGTACAAACATCCACCTCCTGGCCACGAAATGGACAGTTGAAGTTGAGATGTAGTTTGAACCTATGCTGCTTTGCACATCTTTGCACCTAGTGGTTTGGAAAATCAACCATAAAACACCTGGAGTTCCGAACGACCTTGATACGCCGTGCATGTTCAAGCAAGAAGCATGATGCCCAACATTGCCCAACAATGTTTATGAACGAATTCATCAAAACCCTCAATGCCAACCACGGATCAACAACCTCCCCAAGCTTCTTTCACCATTGGTTTCCCAATCCAAATCACTCCTTTGGATGACAACTTGGGGCACATCTCTTGGACCCCAGTTGATGGGACCCCTCAACCCCAGGCCTCCAAGCGTGTGATAAAATCCGTTAACAGAAGCTTCACCACGTTGGTCCAGGATCTCGGTGATCCAGGCAGCTGCCACTGTTTCGGTGTGGCAGAGCCCGCACTTTGGAGGCTTGCGAAACGCATTGTGGAGAGAAAACAACACCCATCGCATCAGAGAATGCAAAAACCCTATAATGGTGAAACTCTTTGCTGGAGGTGATGCATGGGCTTTTGGAGCCCAGGTTCCCTGATTAGGAAACCCTCAAATGCCGACAAGCTGCTCTTCGATCTCCAATGCAGAAAGTGTGGCAAAGGTCACCCGCTCCAAAGCAGCAGAAGGCTGCCGGGCCTTGGTCTATCGGCTTCTCGAATCAGCTTCAAGGATCTCAAACCTGTAGCACTTACCTCTGAAAGAACCAATGGAATCATCAGCTTCAGGGCAACTCAAAGCCAAAGCACGGAAAACTGCGGGAGATTGGAAGAATACATGTAGTGTCTTATTCACCAACACTTCCACAAAGGTGAGCGTTGAAGTTTGACCACATCCGTTGAGGAGGCATACCCGCAGGGATTGTTTTTCGTCTGTTTGGCCATACAGGAGTCGCTTAATTTTGTCACGAAGATCTGCAAAGAGAAAGATTTGTGTCGGTGGCTTAGCTACTGGGTTGCCGGGCGCTTCGACATTCGTGGATGCTGCTGCTTGCCAATCCCCTGTGCAATGCGGCACTTTCTTGATGGATCTGTCTTCCTAGTACGCAAGGGATAGACACGGAACAAACTGACATACTGACATGTTTGTTGGAGATTTGCTCACGTAAAAAATGTCCTGACATGTGGTGACATGCCTCAATTTCAATCCTGCCATTGCCAGATTTTGCTTCACCACGGCCTCAGGGTACCAACGGTGTCCAACACAGAATTCCCTGAGTCATCTGAGGTCAGCTCTGTAGCATCCTCCACTACAAGAGTACATTGCTTCACCTGCGAGGGAGCAAGTTTGTCATAAAATGTCATAAATCCTGCATAGCTGGAAAATGCTGGAAGCTGGCCTTTGGAGTCTCAGTGTGGACTCAAGTGATTTGAACAGAAAATGACAGCTGTGCTTGCATGCTGCGCGCCTCTTGTTCAATTTCCTGAGCCTCTACATTCAATGTCTTGACTTTGTCTGAAGCCTCGATGCAAAAACCATGAAACAAAGGTTGGGACAAACAAAACTGATGTGGTCCTTGTCACGGACCCATTTCCGATGTCTCACGCGTTCCACACTGATAGAGCCATCTCATGCAAGCCGTGTCATTCTCCGGCCAGTACTTCAACACGTTGCTTAGAGCCATAACTCAATGAAGCACATGCACATCTCTAGCACATGTTTATGGAGTACATGTTCATAAATCGTCACATATTTTCATAAATTGCATGACAAATTTGGATCTCCAAGGCGTTTTTTATTTTCAACCCCCCCCCACCCCTTCATTGTTGAAAGCGGTGTCCAGGCCTGTATCGCCTGTGTTTCAACCTTTTCCAACTCTGTGGCCGAGTCCTTGTTCATCTTGTCAGACTCCTTGACCTCCGATTCCCAATCGCGTTGATTGCAATTTAGGGGAACACTGAACCTGTTCTGGAAATGAAGCTTTTTGGTGGGAACTTCACGGGCACAGTCAAATTGCTGAAATGGGTGAATCAACATCATACCTGATTTCAAATGCCAAACAGGTCTATGGAAGGAATTGCCAGTCCCAACGAAGAGATTAGCTGACCCTGGAGAAAAAAAACGCCACATTAAATAGTGGCTCGCTAATAGATAACCCAACATCCGCCGACCCCGGCTGACGCAAGGGGGAGCGCGTAGGGGAAGAAGAGCCACTACTACCAGTACCACTACGACTACGACTTCTACTTCGACTTCTTCTTCTTCAACTACTACGACGACGACGACCACTACGATGACTACTACTACTACGACGACTACTACGACGACTACTACGACGACTACTACGACGACTACGACAGACGACGACGACGACGACTACTACTACTACTACTCCTGCAACAACAACAACAACTACTACTACTACTACCACTACCACCACTACTACTACCCACTACTAGTACTACTACTAGTACTACTACTACTACTACCACTACTACTACTACTGCGACTACTACTACTACTACTACTACTACAACCTACTACTACTACTACCACTACTACTACTACTGCGACTACTACTACTACTACTACTACCACTACTACTACTACTACTACTACTACTACTACTACTACTACTACTACTGCGACTACTACTAATGGGACTACTGCTACTACTGCTACTTACTACTCCTTACTACTACTTTCTACTACTTACTACTACTTACTACTACTTACTACTACCTCCTACTACTACTACTGCTCCTGCTACTGCTACTGCTGCTACTGCTACTACTACTACTACTACTACTACTACTTCTGCTACTACTACTACTACTACTACCTCTGCTACTACTACTACTACTACCACCTCTGCTACTGCTACTACTACTACTACTACTACTACTGCAACTAAAACTGAAACTACAACGGCGACAAGGACAACAACGACAAGAACTACACCAGCAGAAGCCAGCAGCCAGCGCCAAGAGCCAGCAGCCAGTACCCAGTTACATTAGTCACTTTTTGGGCACAACTTTGATGCTTCTCCGTCTTTCACTGCGGTTGTGTTTTTCCATCCGGGAGGTGTCTTTTGAGCAGCAGCAGCAGCAGCAGCAGGGGGAAAAAGTAGCTAAAATCAACATTTTCTATGGGTTTCAGAAGTTACGTTAAGCACTTTTTGGGTGCAATTTGGATGCTTCTGCGTCCTTCATTTATGGGGTTCAGAAGCCGCGTTAGGGAATTTTTCGGCTTCCTTTAGAGGCTTATCCGTCCTTCACTGCCAATGTGTTTGAGCGTTCCAAGTCCTTTGTTTTGGAGAAATTGCAGAAGGCGACGCAAGTGAATAGATTGAACTTTTTGAGCGTAAGTCCTTCATTCATAGGATTCAGAAGACGCGTTAGGGAATTTTTCGGCGCTTCTTTTTGGCTTCTCCGTCCTTCACTGGCATGGTGCTTCCCTGTCCGGGAGCCATGTTTTGGGCTGCCATGGCTGCCATGTCTGGTTTTTGGCGTGTGTGTTGGCCACGTCGTTTTTAGCTTTTTTGCTAAAGTTTCCGGTGACACGTTAGGCAGTTTTTCGGTGCTTCTTTGTCACTTAAGGTTTCAGACGACGCGTTAAGCAGTTTTTCGGTGCTTCTTTGTGACTTTTCCGTCCTTCACTGGCATGATGTTTCCCTGTCCGGGAGCTATGTTTTGGGCTGCCGTGTCTGGTTTTTGGTGTGTTTGCAGCCGTGTTGGACACGTATACATTAGGCAGTTTTTCAATGCTTCTTTGTGGCTTCTCGGTCCATGGCATGATGTTCCCCTGTCCGGGAGCCATGTTTTTTAGGCTGTCGTGTCTAGTTTTTGGCATGTTTTGGCTTGTTTTCCACTCTTGCTGGCCACGTCGTTTTTAGCTCTTTTGGACTTAGCTGACTTAGCTCTTTTGGAAGGCTTCAGACGACACGTTAGGCAGATTTTGAATGCTTCTTTGTGGCTTCTCCGTTGGTGTTTCCCTGTCCAGGAGCCATGTTTTTTGGGCTGCCGTGTCTGGTTTTTGGTGTGTTTTGCAGCCGTGCTGGCCACGTCCAGGAGCCATGTTTTGGGCTATGGGCTACCGTGTCTTTTTTTCGGCGTGTTGGCCCCAACTCGGACGTTGCTCCACACTTACAATCGTCATGATCATCATGATCATCATCATCATCATCATCATCATCATCATCATCACCATCACCATCACCATCACCATCACCATCATCATCATCATCATCATCATCACATCATCACATCATGATCATCATCGCACTAAAATTCGCCACCCCCTGGGAACAATATGCTGACGGGGGTAATAACATCAACTTTATCTTCATGAGGGGCTAAAATTCGCCACCCCCTCTGAGCAGTATTTTGATTGGGGTAACGACATCAACTACATCTCCATGAGGGATCAAAATTCGCCACCCCCTATCTTCATGAGGGATCAAAATTCGCCACCCCCTATGAACAATATGTTGCTTGGGGTAATAACATCAACTTTATCTTCATAAGGGATCAAAATTCGCCACCCCCTATGAACAATCTGCTGATTGTGGTAATAACATCAGCTTTATCTTCATAAGGGATCAAAATTCGCTACCCCCTATGAACAATATGTTGATTGGGGTAATAACTTCAACTTTATCTAGATATCCACCTGAAGTCAGACGCGGCGCAACGTCAGGGTTGCAGAGATGGCGTGTTTTGTAGCCGTGCTGGCCACGTAGTTTTTCAATGCTTCTTTGTGGCTTCTCCGCCCTTCACTGGCATGGTGTTTCCCTGTCCGGGAGCCAAGTTTTGGGCTGCCGTGTTTGGTTTTTGCCGTGTTTTGCAGCCGTATTGGCAACATCGTTTTTAGCTTTTTTGCCAGGGTTTCCGGCGACACGTTAAGCAGTTCGCAGTTCCGTCCTTCACTGAAGTTGTGTTTCCATGTCCGGGAGCCATGTTTTGGTCTGCCGTGTCTGCTTGTGTTTTGCAGCCGTGCTGGACATCTGGGGGCCATGTTTTGGGCTGTCGTGTCTGGTTTCTGGCGTGTTTTCCAGTCTTGCTGGCCGCGTCGTAGCTGTTTTGGACCTAGCACGACCTAGCTCTTTTGGAAGGTTTCAGACGACACGTTACGCAGTTTTTGAATGCTTCTTCGTGGCTTCTCCGTCGGTCCTTCACTGGCATGTGTTTCCCTGTCCAGGAGCCATGTTTTTTGGGCTGCCGTGTCTGGTTTTTAGTGTGTTTTGCAGCCGTGCTGGCCAGGTCGTTTTCAGCTTTTACACGTGACACTTTACACTCCACACTTTACACTTTATACTCCACACTCCATACTTGACACTTTACGCTCGACACTCTGCATTTTACACATCTTTACACTCTACACTTCACACAGGGGCGGCAGCCCTTTGCGTACCAATGCGCCATAGCTTTAGCTACCCGGGGGTCGCGCCCCATCACCCAAATCCTTCTCTCTGCTGGTGTTTTCACGTTTTTGGGGGTCCGGGCGGGAAAAAAGATGCTAAAATTATAAGATGCTTTTGGAGGTTGATTTTTGGCCGTTTTTGAGCAATGTTTTGACGATTTTTTGCTGCGCCCTGGAAGCAAAAACATCATAAAATACCGTGTGTTTGTCATTTTTGCATGTAGGAACTACATCTTGCAACAGGGTGAAAACTGCGTAGATACCAGTGTTTTTGCTAGGCACTGGCCAAAAAAACATTGTATATAAATGGCGTGACTTTTGCTACCAGAAGCAATAAAACATCGTAAATACCGTGGTTTGGGGCTTCCGAAGCGCAAAAAACCTTAGTATTTACAGTGTTTTTTGCTTCTAGAGTGTCAGAAAAATGCGAAAACACCACCTATTTGACGATTTTTAGGGGTCCACAAAAATGCGAAAATATATAAGCTGTGTTGCAGCAGCAGCAGCAACAACAACAACTAGACGACGGATGGCCCGAGAGCGTAGAGGAGCAGAGTCTTCTGTTGTTAGTATGGAGACACGCTTTTTACACACAGGCTCTTTTACACACAGACGCTTTTACACACAGACGCTTTTACACACAGACGCTTTTTACACGCAGGCGCTTTTACACACAGAAGCTTTTACACACAGACGCTTTTACACACAGACCCTTTTACACACAGCACTTTTACACACAGACGCTTTTACACACAGACGCTTTTTACACACAGGCTCTTTTACACACAGAGACTTTTACACACAGAGACGCTTTTACAAGCAAACAAGTCAGGATTTCTTAAAACTCGCCGGCAAGACCTGCACATGACAGAGATGACCGGATAACAAACATGCCAAACAATGAACGGGGCAAGAAATGAAAACATGTAAGCAAGGCCTCAACATGACACGGGTGAACGGAAAATAAACATGCCAAACCATAAACAGATCAAGCAAACATGCAAAACATGTAAGCAAGGCCTACACATGCCAGGGGTGACCGGAAAATAAGCATGCCAAACAATAAACAGGTCAAGCAAACATGCACACGAACGGAAATGCTTGCGGTCATGTTTGCTCGGACACTTCCGGTAGCAAACAAACAAACGTTCGTGCCAACCTCAGCAAGGAAATGTTATGCTAATATGTTACCCACAAACTCCACAATCCAAAAACCAGTGAATCCCAATGTAACTTCATTAATCCATTCATATTTCTTTCAGGGTACAAGTAAGCATGCCTACTAAACATGCCAAGCAAACAAGTCAGGACTGCGTCAAACTTGCCAGCAAGGCCTGAACATGACACGGATGACCGGAAAACAAACATGCCAAAGAAAACAAAACATGTAAGCAAGGCTGCTTTTACACACACATTGCCGCTGTCACGCAGAAACACCTTTTACACAGAAACCCTTCTGCACACACACCATTTTATACAGAGACGCTTTAAGACACAAACCCTTTTACACACAGACACTTTTACACACAAAAGCTTTTACACACAGACACTTCTACACAGATGCACTTCTACACACAAACACTTGTACACACAAACATCTTTACACAGAAACATTCTTACACACAAACCCTTTTACACAGAGACACTTTTACACACAAAAGCTTTGACACACAAACACTTTTACACAGATGCACTTGCACACACGAACACTTTTACACGCAAACATCTTTACACCGAAACACTCCGACACACAAACACGTTTACACACAAACACTTCTACACACAGAAGCTTTTACACACAAACACGTTTAAACAGATGCAATTTTACATACAATCACTTTTACACACAAACATCTTTACACAGAAACACTCGTACACACAAACCCGTTTACACACAAAGACTTTTACACACAGAAGGTTTTACACACAAGACTTCTGCACAGATGCACTTGTACACACAAACAATTTTACACACAAACATCTTTACACAAAAACGCTCGTACACACAAACCCCTTTTCCTGCGAAAGGATTTGCACTTGTACACACGAACACTTTTACACGCAAACATCTTTACACCGAAACACTCCGACACACAAACACGTTTACACACAAACACTTTTACACACAGAAGCTTTTACACACAAACACGTTTAAACAGATGCAATTTTACATACAATCACTTTTACACACAAACATCTTTACACAGAACCACTCTTACACACAAACCCGTTTACACACAAAGACTTTTACACACAGAAGGTTTTACACACAAGACTTCTACACAGATGCACTTGTACACACAAACACTTTTACACACAAACATCTTTACACAGAAACGCTCGTACACACAAATCCCTTTTCCTGCGAAAGGGTTGCTCCAGGACAAGTAAAATCGCAATTTTACCTCAGTTTTTGCCGATCGACCCTCATTTCGTGCGAAAGGGTTGCTCCAGGACACGTAAAATCGCAATTTAACCTCAGTTTTTGCCGATCGACCATCATTTCGTGCGAAAGGGTTGCTCCAGCACACGTAAAATCGCAATTTAACCTCAGTTTTTGCCGATCGACCCTCATTTCGTGCGAAAGGGTTGCTCCGGCACACGTAAAATCGCAATTTAACCTCAGTTTTTGTCGATCGACCCTCATTTCGTGCGAAAGGGTTGCTCCGGGACAAGTAAAATCGCAATTTTACCTCAGTTTTTGACGCTCGACCCTCATTTCGTGCGAAAGGGTTGCTCCAGGACACGTAAAATCGCAATTTAACCTCAGTTTTTGCCGATCGACCCTCATTTCGTGCGAAAGGGTTGCTCCGGGGCAAGTCAAATCGCAATTTTACCTCAGTTTTTGCCGATCGACCCTCATTTCGTGCGAAAGGGTTGCGTTTCGTGCCGTCTCGTTTGCACTGCCCCTGCCCCCGCCTTCAGAAGAGAAATAGAAAAGAAGGAGAGAGCAAGAGGGCAAGAGGGTAAGAGGGCAAGAGGAGAAGATGTGAAGATGTGAGGATGTGAAGATGAGAAGATGTGAGAAGATGTGAGAAGATGTGAGAAGATGAGAAGATGAGAAGATGAGGAGAAGATGGGAGGATGAGAAGATGTGAAGATGAGAAGATGTGAGAAGATGTGAGAAGATGTGAAGATGAGAAGATGAGAAGAAGATGGGAGGATGAGAAGATGTGAAGATGAGAAGATGCGAAGATGAGAAGATGTGAAGATGAGAAGATGTGACGATGAGAGGAGGATGTGAAGATGAGAAGATGTGAAGATGAGAGGATGTGAAGATGAGAGGATGTGAAGATGAGAGGATGTGAAGATGAGAGGATGTGAAGATGAGAGGATGTGAAGATGAGAAGATGTGAAGGAGGAGGATGGGAAGATGAGAAGATGTGAAGATGAGAGGATGTGAAGATGAGAGGATGTGAAGATGAGAGGATGTGAAGATGAGAGGATGTGAAGATGAGAAGATGTGAAGATGAGAGGATGTGAAGATGAGAGGATGTGAAGATGAGAAGATGTGAAGATGAGAAGATGTGAAGATGAGAAGATGTTTTTACAGACCCCCACTATTGGAAGAACCCTGCGCTCAGACGCTCTCGGGAACAACAACAAGAAGAAGAAGAAGAAGCACAAAAATGCGACAAAAAGATGTGTGGTAAGATGGTTACAAACTGCGGTATGACAAGCACATCACACTGTGCTCTGCACCTGCGCGCACGCGCAAAGCAAATGAACAACACCAACGCTCACACTACTATACATAGCCCTTATGGCATCGCCGGCGTGCGAAGCTCTACAATATGGGTTAGAATTATTCCGAAGAAACCAGAAAATTTTAGGGGGCTATACAGTTATACTGTACATACTGATCGACTCCAAATACAAAATTAAACACCCGAACTAAACGCTCAGTAAGTCGCCACTCTGAGGCCTGCTGGAACGCCATACCATGTTTTGTCTCAAAGTGGCGAAGTGTCTTCTCCATTTGCACCTGGAAAGAAAAATTGGCCATTCAAGGATATACCATTTGTACCATAGATGTACCAAGATGATCCAAGAAATATACCAAGATTCAAAAATGTCAACTAGTATTCTGGATGTTACCTTGCGTTTACACCAAATACGATTGGTTCGGACAACTCTGGAGAAAAACAGGATGGCGTTTGAGCAAAATAGCCACTGGTTCAACTTGGTTCAACCGTTTCAGTTATGGCAAAAAAAAATCAATGTATGCAGCAAGGTGATCCCACTGAGTATGGCACCAGCACTTCAACCACATTTGTTAACCTGTTGTTCTCCTTTTGCAATTCTTCCTGGCAGCTCAAAGGGCGACATCAACAAGGCAAGTCTAGGGCAAATCCACCGAAACATTGAGGCATCATCATGGCAAAGGGTTCAAATACACTCAACAGGAAACAGAATGATTCAAAACTGTGATACAATGGAAAAAGCAAAAAATCATGTATATACCTATTGATACATATTGTAATATATTCATGTATATATATATATATACATAATAATATAATATCATATAATATCATATCATATCATAAATCATATATATCATATATATATCATATACACGTATATATATATATATCATATATATTGTTCTACATAACTAGCATCCTTTCTGGCGGATTGGCATGGGCGATTCAAACACTGACCTAAACTTGCAAACCCATCCAGGAGTACTGATTCTTGTGACTGATAGGTGAACCCTGCCATAGTAGGTCTTTGAATCTGTTTGAAATCTAAGCCTACAAGGTTCATTGAAGTTCATTGGTTTATGATTTATAAATCTAAGATAATCTAAGATCAAACAATGTCAGGGCCATGCCAGCAAACATAGCAAACATGGAGTATCTGAAGTATTTGTTCCAACCAACTTTGAGACCTCCTTTGCTTTGAAGAGCTGTTTGGCTGCAAGCACCTTGCTCTGAAGCTCGATGTCGTGACTGGAACGAATCATGACCAGCATCTGCGGTTAGCAAAGACACATCCAATGCTTTCAGATCTTGGACTCGAGCTACTGAGATGTACAAAGCGCATCCACCTGCGCACAGCAAAGGGTCATGGCTCCTGGACTTCTAATGGACGCATCGGCTATCATGGCCCCATGGCCCAGCCTGGAAGTTGTCGCTGACTGCCGATCTCGCCTACAAGGATCAAGTTGTGATTCTGCGGCAAAATCACATGGAAATATGTGGCAACAGCCTTCGGTTTGTGACATGTTTGGCCAAGAGCAGAAGTTTCCAGAGCAAAGACAGGACCAGGAAGCGGCTGCCAAGCAAACCCCTGCAAAGCCACAAGCCCATTTTGCCCGCAGAAATCTTCCTGAAATTCATGCTACCCAGCAAGAGGCCACATAGTTGGCACACTCACCCAGAAAGTTCGATTGAACATGTCTCAAAATGTCTCAAAATGTCTCAAAATGTCTCAAAATGTCTCAAAATGTCTCAAACATAAAATGGGCGCAATTCCCTTTGCCCACGTGAAGTGCACCTACAGCAACTTGGGCCATCTGCATTGCCTCAATTCCAAGACCAACTCGGCCCAAGAGTATGGTGACTGCACAAATTGACCTTCTGAACGGCTTGAAGTCTTTATGATCGTGTATGATCTTGTATGTCTCCCCAATTTCAGATGGTTAAATACTGAAGGAAGCCATTGGCACCCATTTTTGAGCTACCCACCAGCTTAACCAGGACCCCGACAGCGGTTGCCATGTTCTGGTAGATAGAATCTGCCTATCAGAGAGCGTGTACTCAAGGGCTGGAAAAAAAGGACCAAAGCCAACTAAGTGGTAGTGTGTAATGATATAATGGTGGTTCAAAGCATTTCAAAACTTGGCATCAAAAGTGCGAAGCAGCTTCATGTTTGACGTCTACTTCATTTCAAGCAAGTTCAAGATGTGTGGCCTGCCTGCTTGTCAGCGGTGCCTTAGCAGTGCTATCTCAAATAACTAATATAACCATCTAACCGTGTCTACCCAATCTGACTGGTCCTTTCCCAAGAAAATCATCGAAAATCCACAAGACCAAGTTCTCCAATGTCTCAGAGTGCCCTCACCTTCGAGCTCACAAGCGAAGGAGGTCCGTGCCACCTGCAGAGTTGTTGCACATCCCACGGATCCCACGGATCCCAAAGATCCGTGCCTCAAAGTAGGCATCGCCGCTCCAAGGTTGGATCCACACGGGACTGATCTTGGAGCCCAAAGATGTAAACCTCAAGCAGAACACAAGCTGCAGAATAAGAATATCGCAAAAGTATAAGCAGGGAGAGGGAACATGTGTTTTAATACTTGTTAATACACATATATATATATAATGTTGTATATATATATATATACATATGTATTTTTTATTATTCTTTAATACTGCTTAATCAAAACATGGAAGGGACACGAAAACATCTATATAAGATTTGAGAGGTTGTCATGTGCGAAGCCACTTCCCTAAGGCGTGCCTCGCGAGTTGCCTTCGAAACCAATCAGCATTGGATGTCGGTGATAAACACAGGATGAACGCCTTGGTGCTTTGTCACGCGGCCAAGTGGCCAGAAACTCTTGCAGTGAGATCTTTGATGCACTCCGTCACTTATATAGCTCTACTCAGATGTCGGTGCTAAGTTCTTTTCATGATCAGTTCCGAACTTTGAATAGGGTCATACCAAAATTCAATAATTAAAATAAATATGAATCTGGTTTGAATGTGAACAACCATAGCCCTGATACTCTAGCAGGGTTTATTCGCGATCAGAAGCATCTCTCCGGGTACGTAGGTACACTATGATACACTAATTGCACATCAAAGGTCATCAAAGATACTTTATTTTTTTGTAAATACCCAGGAAGTCGGACACCAAACACTCGAAGGAAATAAGAGAAATGCGCGCCTAGGACAGATCAAGGGCTATGTCAAGCGAGGCACAAAAGGCTAGTCCAGGGCTAGAAAGTCAGTGAAACGCCCGAGAAGTATCGAGAAACCACGAAATACTTGTTTAACTGTTTGCTTACCTGCGCGTATTTTGTTAAATATCATTGTCGACAAAGTCACGAGTGCAAGAACACATGGTCACATTGTGCAGCTTGACCTTGATGGCTTTACACAACAAGACTAGAATGAACAGTGGTGACATTTTACAAACAGCGGCCAGCGGAAAAGAGAAGGAGATAACAAAGCCAAGAACTTTACGGAAAGACAGAAGAGGTAGAAGGGTCCATGCTGGAACAGCAACCCATCGGTATTTTTTTCAAGAGTCAAAACCCACCCTGGTGACCCTTAAAGTGCCAATGGATGTTGATCTCCCCACCCCAAAGCATGAAACCAGTGCGTCTAGTGCGTCACAGAAAGCTAAGCAACCAGCCAAACGGGTCGCACCATCATACTTCACTGGCTCGTTCTCCCCTGGAATGCAGCCACCAGAGATACAGTACTGGCTTTGATCAAATGTCCACTTACAAGTGGTCAAACTATGCCACTTGCGGGAGCTTCGGTGGTCCCTATTTTGCGACAATATATTATTGAGCTGTTCAAGAGAATGATGGTTGTAGGATGTTTGAGGTCTCTTCTCATTGCAAGTGCGCATGCTTCCGCGTTCTTTTGGACACCTTAAGGGGAAGACTTAGCCATGTGATGCCATGTGATGCCAAATCAGCAGTGTGTGCGCATGCCTACAAAAAGACTGCGAATGCATGTGAATAAATCGAAATACAAAGGCCCACATGCGGCTGGGGTTTCACTTTTGGGTCTCAGGTATTTCGCTTACCATTAAAAGCAGCCCTGACTGATCATGGCACTATGCAGCGCCTCGCCGTCTGAAGGCACGAGCTTTGGGCACCTCAACTGCCTCACATGGCTATGGGCCAAAACCATAGGAACCGCGGGCGAACATCAAAACAGCTGGGAAATGGATACCAATCCTCTCAAAATATGGTAGAATAGGTCTTGATCCATGCCCACATCATCTTACTGTACTTGATTGGGAAATCAAATGAATGAAAAGGGCCGCACTCTTCCGCTTCATGTTCAAATGTTCAAACTTGAGTCCCTCAAACCGACCATCATCAGGCTCCCAAACACCGCTAGGAGAAGCAACTTGCATGAGCTTCTTTTCCACCTCAGCAACAGAATGGAAAACTGGAACGTTGCTTCTCCTGCTCCAAAGAAATGTGCACCTTGATGTCAGTTGCACCCCGCAAGGAGTCGTCAATTTCCTGCCACACGGCACACGCAGTCACCCCACTAAAGCAGCGGACTGCCTACAGCAAGTCCTCCAGCGCGAGTTCTCCATCAGCCAGCGTGAGCAAATCCTGTCGCTGGGCCAGCGATGGTCTCAGCGTTAGATGCAGCTACTTCCCTGGAACAAACTGATGTAAATGTGATGTAAATGACTGTGTGAACGGCTAAGTGACTATGGAATGGTCATGGTTTCAACAATCTCAATCTGCCACCCGTCCTGTGTGATTGGACCCAGGCATTGTAGGCCCATGTCACCTTCACGAGTTGCGAAGTGCATCGAATAGCTGGAGTATGTATTGTGTGCTCACATCAAAGCATCGCTGTGCAGCCCATCTCTTAGTGTCACGATAGATTCACTGCATCTGATTCATGATTTTTGCTCGTCATCTATCGCTGGAAACTGGTTCAGTCCTCAGGATGTCACTGCCAGTTTTGCAGAACTGCCGGATCTCTTCGATCAAGCCTCAAGTGCTGGAAAGGTCCCGCGGAAGCTTGGCATACCTGGGCATCCTTACATCCAATCGTCCTGGCCATGCTGCATGGAGATCCAATAGATATCCTGATCTGATGTAGCATCTCACATTGATCTGTTATGGATACTGGGAAGCTATGAAAATGGCAGCCACTTCGCTGTCCATTCGATATCACACCATGGTTTCAGTATCTCCAACAGTCTATCTCTTTCCAACTATATGCAGGTCTGCCTCACTCCTTGCTTTCAAGAGACCTATCACATCTCATTCTAAGTTTCTTTCCCAATTTATACTGTCTTGTCTATTCAGCCAGCTTAAGCACAGCCTGTTGTGGGACTGTTGCACATGACTGAGCTACATGCGAGGCACATCTTCCGCAGTGCATCTCTGCAGCTCACCATTTACCAAATGGCTGGCCATTTGGGCACCTAGATGCGCTTTGGGCAGTGTTCGGCGGATGGGTAAAAGTCAATATTTGATCTCAAATCTACCTCAGCCAAATGTGTTCAGGAATCTATTTCACGAGAATCCTATCTGACTGTATAGCTCGGACAACAGGTTTTCCCGCAATGGATACGGTACGGTTCAAACATGGGATGTCACTAAATACACCAAAGTAGCAACTTGTTGCACTATCCCAATCTCAATCCAACGTGTTTGGGGCAAATATTCTCAAAATGCATTAGACAAAAAATGCCAGAGATATGTTTGTTTGTTCAAAATTGAATCCGAAAATTCACATAGAATACCCTCTAATGAGTTTAAATAGGTATAGAAACCCTTCTGTGCCTGTAGATCATTTCCGTTCAGAAACCATGGGCGTTCCGTATGGTTCTGTTAGTTTACTGGAGAGTGAATGGCTAATCTGACTATACATCCGCATTCTATCCACAATATGATTGGTTTTAGACAATATGTTTCCCCTTATGAGTATCTGATTTCTTATTGGCTATAGATTCCCATTTCAGGATGCTAAAACCATTTTAACAGCCCGTTCTTGACGGTAAATATGTTCGATGGTCCAATGCTATTGAATTCCCATTGTTTACGGTTTTTTGGTCTAATCCCGTAAATCCCTGTTCTTGCTCATCCTCAGGTATATTGAGGGGATGTGGTTATTTGTGTTGTCAATCCCCATCGTTTGGAAGAAATGTTCAGAGAAAATCCGCCGGCCTGCCGGCGTGTCTGATTGGAAGGTGTTGTTCTTGTTTCTGTTCTTGGTTTGTACTTGTTCCTTTGTTCTCTTGCTGCGCGTTTTTGCTTCGTCTGAATCAAAGTCACCCCCCCCACTCCTCTAAGTACTACGTGTACTGGTACTAGTACTATGTACTAGTAGTAGTAGTAGTAGTAGTAGTAGTAGTAGGAGTAGGTAGTAGTAGTAGGTAGTAGTAGTAGTAGGTAGTAGTAGTAGGTAGTGGTAGTAGTAGTAGGTAGTAGGTAGTAGGTAGTAGGTAGTAGGTAGTAGGTAGTAGGTAGTAGGTAGTAGGTAGTAGGTGTAGTAGTAGTAGTAGTAGTAGTAGTAGTAGTAGTAGGTAGTAGGTAGTAGGTAGTAGGTAGTAGGTAGTAGGTAGTAGGTAGTAGGTAGTGGTAGTGGTAGTGGTAGTGGTAGTAGTAGTAGTAGTAGGTAGTAGGTAGTAGGTAGTAGGTAGTAGGTAGTAGGTAGTAGGTAGTAGGTAGTAGGTAGTAGGTAGTAGGTAGTAGGTAGTGGTAGTAGTGGTAGTGGTGGTAGTAGTAGTAGTAGTAGTAGGTAGTAGGTAGTAGGTAGTAGGTAGTAGGTAGTAGGTAGTAGGTAGTAGGTAGTAGGTAGTAGGTAGTAGGTAGTAGGTAGTAGGTAGTAGGTAGTAGGTAGTAGGTAGTAGGTAGTAGGTAGTAGGTAGTAGGGAGTAGGGAGTAGGTAGTAGGTAGTAGGTAGTAGGTAGTAGGTAGTAGGTAGTAGGTAGTAGGTAGTAGGTAGTAGGTAGTAGGTAGTAGGTAGTAGGTAGTAGTAGGTAGTAGTAGGTAGTAGTTAGTAGTAGGTAGTAGTAGGTAGTAGTAGGTAGTAGTAGGTAGTAGTAGGTAGTAGTAGGTAGTAGTAGGTAGTAGTAGGTAGTAGTATGTAGTAGTAGGTAGTAGTAGGTAGTAGTAGGTAGTAGTAGGTAGTAGTAGGTAGTAGTAGGTAGTAGTAGGTGGTAGTAGGTGGTAGTAGGTGGTAGTAGGTGGTAGTAGGTAGTAGTAGGTAGTAGTAGGTAGTAGTAGGTAGTAGTAGGTAGTAGTAGGTAGTAGTAGGTAGTAGTAGGTAGTAGTAGGTAGTAGTAGGTAGTAGTCGGTAGTAGTCGGTAGTAGTCGGTAGTAGTCGGTAGTAGTCGGTAGTAGTCGGTAGTAGTCGGTAGTAGTCGGTAGTAGTCGGTAGTAGTCGGTAGTAGTCGGTAGTAGTCGGTAGTAGTCGGTAGTAGTAGGTAGTAGGTAGTAGGTAGTAGGTAGTAGGTAGTAGGTAGTAGGTAGTAGGTAGTAGGTAGTAGGTAGTAGGTAGTAGGTAGTAGGTGGTAGTAGTAGTAGTAGTAGTAGTAGTAGGAGTAGTAGTAGTAGTAGTAATAGTAGTAGTAGTAGTTGTTGTTGTTGTAGTAGGAGTAGGAGTAGTAGTAGTAGTAGTAGTAGTTGAGCTGCCGGTGTTTGGCTTAAGACTGGTGGGGGGGGGTCCGGAGGGGGAAACGGAGGGGGAAACTGTTTCTTAGAAGGTGGTTCGTTGCTGAAGAAACCAGGGGCCAGACCCATTCACGGGAATATCTTGATTTACTATGATATATAATGTTCCCGACACCGATCAGATGATAGATAAACAGACGTCAACTAATCAGGTACATCAAAACCAACCAAAGAATTTATTTCATAGATAAGACCCTTCTGCCTGCTGCATATAGTATTATCTGATAAGCAGAAACATGTTGGATGAAATGACGATGAATTGACAAAAAGGCCATCCTTCAACCGTTTTCCTGTTTGGTTTTGGTGTTGTTTTGTTCCCCTACTTTTTCCTGTTTTTACACTTCCGTTTTTGGTGGGTGGATGGTGGCCAGCACATTCTGCAGATTTGTAGAGTTTGCCAATTCAAATAGGCAAAGGGTTACAGCATGCGAATCCGATTCACGTTTGATTGTTTCCATTTTTTGTTTCGATTGTAGTTGTTTGCTTGTGTGAGTGCAGTACCCTCTCCACTTTTCACAGCTGCGCCTGTGTGTGATGATGAAAACAAAAGACGAGGTAATAATGTGATGTATGTTTGCGCTATGTTTGAATACTTTACAATAATTTGAGTTTTGTCAAGTGTCAAATCTCGGTGAAGGTGTAAGAAGTGTTGTGCGTGTGCGCCATGCAGAACCGGTTCTTGTTTGCGTTTTTTTTTGGCGCACCTTTGTGTGTTAAATACATTTTAAATATCATTCATGTACCTTGTGGACGTTTGAAAAAATTAGTTCCTGTTTTCCATTGGCCTCTTTTTTTGTTCATGCGGTCCCTCTTCCCCAGAGTTCTTCACATCAACCGCCTATCACCAATCACTGGGTGCCGTCTCTTTCCACATCAGTCGATGAGTTTTACATAGATATATTTAGATATTCAGATTTGACATGGGAGTGCCGTGTGTAGTCAAACTGCATGAGCATGAGCCTCACACAACTTCAACACCGTTTAGTTTCTAGCAGGAGCAGTCAGTTTGTTTCATGATTGAATGTTTTGGGTCTGCGAAGATCCTCCTCCATACATCTATAGATCAGAGATTCTTTTTTCAAATTTGAATGCGACGTGATCAAAAAATCAAGGTGCGCAAAAAAATGCAAAAACATCTCTGCCTGGAACCCTGAGGCTGCAGTCAAGAATTCCAGCAGTCCTGTTTGCTTCATCGATCGATCGCCCAAAGTGGTCAGCAGAGTTTGTCACTTTATTTCTCAATCGTTGACGAACTGGTAAGCGCCCAAGTTTGACAGTTCACCCATGGTTCCTCAAAATATGCGGCTGATCACAGAAGTTCGTCAATGAAACAGGCAGTTCGTCAATATTGACGATCTGGCTCATAAACGCAACCAAGTTCGTCAATGGTTCGTCAATAGCTGCTGACGACCGCAAAACTGCGTCAATGACCCAGAAAGTTCGTCAATGGCCAAAAAGTTCGTCAATATTGACGAACACGTCTTGCACATTGACGAACTATTGACGAACCAGTTCGTCAATATTGACGAACTTTCTGGGTTGTTGACGAACTTTTGTTGTCGTCACCACTTATTGACGAACCATTGAAGAACCATTGACGAACCATTGACGAACTTGGCCGCGTTGACGAACCAGATCGTCAATATTGACGAACTGCCTGTTTCATTGACGAAACTTCTGTGGTCACCTGCATGTTTTGAGGAACCATGGGCGAACTTGGGCGCTTTGATGATCAGTTCGTCAATGAGGCCTCAGTGACAAACCCTGCTCTCTCACGACGACCTTGCATGATCTATAGCCTCATGAAATGAGTAGTCCTTCAAATGGTTGATCATTTGTAGAATTTTTTCTTTACCTTAGACACAGCTGACATTTGCAAGTTGGTATGTTTAAATTTAAACATTTTCTATTGCTGTACACAATAGACTGACAGAGAAAGTAGATATGTAGTTATACTTCAGGAGTAAAACCTTAAAATAGGAGAGGACATCACCGGAAACAAACTTGTGGGCACACGGGAGATGGTCCAATGAAAGTGTGATGATGTGGTAATCGCTGCTAGGAAACAAATTCCACGGGGCCTAGGCCTAGACGATCAATATGATCAATGTAATTCGGCACATGATGATGGTGAGGCATGCCCCAATGCGATATAAATTTGAAAATATACCAAAGGGTGTTGGCGTGTCATATTTTTTGTGTTTACTCTCGGGGCCCATTGGCTAGCTTGGGAATTTCCATCAAAATGTCTAACTTTGCCAAACAAATGCATGGTTGCTTTCTTTGATACTTGTAATGTTTGCAGTACTGCAAAGCCACCCCTGCCAAGATTCCCACACAACCCCCTAGCTGCCAAAAACAAACAACTTTAGATGGACTTATATATTTCATCTGGTATCTGCAAAAGCTCAAGGCAGTGTGAAATTATCGGCCTGGAACGCACGATCCCAAAAAGCGAGCGAGGCGAGCAGCATTGTTTTACACTATGGGGTATCACTTCTTTACTTGAAAACACGTATTTTCATGCTGAGCAGAATTTCATCCGAGCTAGAAACTAGTGGCACATTGATGCAAGTCTGAGCAGATGCCAACATAGATTTCCTTTTCAAACTTGGATAATTTTGTGGTGGTTTGGTGGTTCTTTTGCTCTATGGTATATTTTCTTGTTTTACATCTGTTGGTAGGAACAACATTGAACAACGACGTAGGCTGGCTGAGGCTTGTCGACCTGCTTCAGAAATTATAG